TTTTAAAGGAGAACTATGGGGTTAGTGTTTTTCCCCATAGTTCTCCTTAGGGTAACGGGAGGACACAAACTAGCGTCCTCCCGTTACCCTAAGCTCAGTATACCGGGAGCTACAGCTCGCGATATACTGAGACGCCGCAGCCGGAGCGGATCCCGACTTAGATGACGGGATCCGCCCAGCTGCGTGAGTGACAGCTGGCTCTGCCTATCTAGAGGCAGAGCCAGCTGTACCCGCCCCCTCCCCCGTCCGTTCCGCCAGTCAGCGCTGGCAGATCGGAGCGGGGAGAGGGGAATCCAGCCCCTCCCCTGTCACGGCAGAGAGCCGTGACAGGATCGAGAGGCGAGCGAACCCGTTATGTGTTCGCTCACCTCCCGATCTACTGAGCCGACCTGTGACAGTCTCATTGTCACAGGTCGGCTAGAACAATGAGGTGAGTGAAAAGCACTCACCTCATAGTTCTCCTTTTAAGGATACAGAGTCCTCAGTCTCTTTTTTTTCTGCAGCCCCTGTTATGAATGAACAGGAAGCCTCTATACTCCTGTCCATTCATAAACTGAGGATATATTATGAGTTACTATGTCCACAATCATTGATGAACAGGAAGCGATGTAGAGCACTTCCCATTCATTCATAATTGAGGACACAGTAAACATACAGTCGTAATGTTGTCGATTATTCACAAACACTCGGCGATCAGCTGAGAGATTATTCGCTCTCCATCCTGACTCGCTGTCACAGGAGGCTGAGCAGGCAGTGCAGGTAGGAGAGCTCAGCCACCTGTGACACGGGTGATAGCTGGCTCCTTCCGCGCACCACCGGCTCAGCCTCCTGTGACAGCTTGCAGTTGTCTCCTCCCCACCCCACTCAGCATCCTGAACATTTCTCTCCTCCCCGCTGGACGCTGCTCTGTGTCAGAGGGGAGGAGAGAAACCATGGATGCACCGCAATTTCAGATGAAAAATTGTACTTTCTGCATTTTGCCCAAAGTGCAATTTTTGGCCGATATGTTTTGGTTAATCCATACTGCTAGCCGTGTCAAGCATTATAATGCTACACAGCCTCCAGTCTTTGTAGTGAAGTTTTCAAGCATCAGGATCTTTTCACTGGCTGGCGTGAGTGGCAGTAGATGAGATTCACAGCAGCAAAGTGCAGCAGGGACCAGGGGGATGGGGAGTATGTTGTGAGTTAGCTCACCTGTTCATTTTTTTATGAAAAGGTTAACTTACCCTTTAGGCCCCTTTCACACGGGCTGATCAGGTCACCGTGGACACATTCCCTCCTGATCAGAGCAGTTCGACACACATGTCACCACTGTTGCAATGAAGGAAAAAACTGAAATTACCAGACTTCAGGTCGGTCCAAGGGGGAATCTGATGTAATCGGACATGTGTCCTTCACCCCCGATCTGGCACGACCAGGTCTGGCGAAACGGATCTCTGATCCATTTGTTTTCCAGACCTGGCCGTAAATGGACGCCCATCCATTTACACACAGCTGCCCATAGACTAACATTGGGCATGCGATCGGGTCCGCTTTAAAAACTGACAGGACCGCCCCCTGTGAAAGGGGCTTTAAACTGGTGCTGATAATTGCTTTTTGCAGATAGAAACAATGTTGCAAAACAGGGGGGAAAAAAAAGATTTCTCACTGCTCTGATGATCCATGCAAAGTCCGGAGGCTACACAGATTGTCACAGTGGTTAATATACAGTATTTACTTTTAACTCAAAATTGTTCTATCTGCCAGAAGCAATCATTAGCACCAGTATATGGCATTTTTATTTAGACCACTTCTGTAGCTAATGCAAATTTGTTATAAATAGACCCCATTAGAGAGATTACACATCAATTTCTGTCTCTCTGAACCCATAAAAGAGGGTCAGAAGGTAGGGAGCAATATCCCCATTAAGAACATAGGTCGCAACAAAGGCCCATTATCCAAAACTAATATAACAAATTAACTGTGGTAGAGGATTTATTTTTAAACTGCATCCGTGATTCTGTGGGGAGACACACGTCACATTATGAACAACTGTGGAACTGTATAACAAGTCTGTGCTCTCAAGCAGAGTCCGCATTAGGCACTACAAAATCCCGTTATATGAGAATATCAGAGACTGCCATGCTCTAATCCATTCATTTAGACAAGGAAACCTAACAAGCATTTTTTTTTTAAAAACAGACTGGACCTCAATCAATTTTGAATCTCCTTTTTATTTTCGAAACAGAACTGCAGCACTTTTTGTCCAATACCTTTGCTAAAAACATCTAACAGGAATATTCATTAGACATAAGTTTGATCCTTGGATATGGCCCTAACTCAAACGCCTGTTACATTTCAAGGCAGCAATTGCTAGGCACCGACCATTTAAGCGTATGTAAATCCTAACAATTATCTTATTTGCTACTATGTAGTCTGTTAAATATACCAATAAGAGCGTTTTATATGTTTGAGAAGTGCAAAAAAAGAACCTGTTGATCACTTTAAAGCCGTCCTGTGCACACTTCCTGTTTTATCTTAACTAGTCTAATTAGCCCTCCTAGTTATTAGCCGATGCAAGTGCTGAGTTAGCAAATCACCGCTGAATGCTGTGCTGCAAGTCAGCGCTTAGCACTCACTGCAGAAGTGAATGTGGATGCAGAGTCCTGAGTGTGACAGAGAAGGTGGGAACAGAGCACCAGTGGCCATTTTAACTGGGCACATCTGGCAGCGCTGGGGAACGGTGCCTGAACCCCGATGGAGGATATCAATTCCGTGTGGGAACTTACAATTTAATGTTTTGGTGGACAAGCACACCAAATATGAGATGGAAAATGTGCACTGTGCAGCCGAAGCGTTCAGTGAAGCTGCTGCAGTGAACTGAAGTACTGCAGAACAGCTACTCAACACTTGCTAAGGAACTGAACACACCTATGATCTTGGGCTACAGAATAATCTGTGTCTATGTTGCAGAGATGAGGACAGTGAGAGGGTTTTTGCAAAAGACAACTGGATAGGGCTGGCACCACTTAGACCAAAAAATGATGTATGTTGTCAGCCCACAACAGGACTGTGCTTGCAGAGTCTTTAAAGCAATAAAACACTGAGAAATGTGCATGTATTGCAGAGATATACTGCATATATTTTGCTTTTACATGCACATTAAATGTAAACGTTTTAAAATATTTACATCTGTGTGCTTGAGTGTTCAAATCCTGTTGACCAAGTACCTAAATATGCATTGCACAATGCTTGCAGAAGGAATAAATGGATTTACACCTAGGCAGTAAATAACATACACCAGCACTCCTTGTTAATCCGGGTCTTCAAGGGGATGATGTTCTTTGGTAAATGTCACTGAATTACTGTTTTTAAAGTACACATTTTTTTTTTCACAAAAAATACATATATACATATTAAAGTAAAATATTTTGAAACTTGTAGCTACTGTTTTGCTTTTGAAATTTGTAGATATATATATATATATATCATAACTAAGCAACAATTACCCAGTTTGGGTCTATTGTTAAATCTCTTATTTGTTGCAACCTTTGTTTTTTAAATAAAAAGGTAACATTTTTTTCCTTACTGCAGAGAATTTCTATTTCCCTGATCGGAAAGAATTCAACCAGCTGCTTCTAGATCTTACTTGCAGAATTAACAGCTTCTGCTCATTCCCCCCCTTCCCCTGCTCCCCCTCCTCCTGCACAGCCTTTGTGTCAGCCTTAGTGCTAAGAGAAGTACTATGCTTTGCCCAGACAGAGAATGGCACTGCTGCTGCAAATTCGAGTACAATATAGTGAGGAGAAGGGTATTTTCCTTTGTTCAGATTTTTTTGCAGACATTTAAGCTTGTCTACAACCCAGGTTTTTTTTTTCTAAGCAGCCTCTCTGTTGTTTTAGATGGATGCAGACAGATGCATGTAAGGGCACACAGCAAGGTGTGATAATTGTATAGAGTGACATTAGATGGAGAGATACAGTATAGAAGGGAGGAGAGAAGCTGTCTCGTTTACAGCCCTACACAGGCGCAGAGAATGGTCTTGTAAAGCCTGCAGGCGGGGCTTTTCACTACTTTCCTCCATGCACAGCAGTGACAGCAGCAGTACAACCAGGGAGAAGCAGCTTTGGAGGCAAAGGTCCCTCTTCTCCTGCACCTTGACAACTAATAGAGCTTCGTTTTCTCCTCACCTTTCCGCAACTCAGACAAAGGAAAAGCCAATGGAAACGTCATGTCTCTTTTGCTGCGAAAGCCTGTTCTTGCCGTCTTTTAATGTCCAGCCTTTAATCTGATCCGATGACATCCCTGCAACCTGTTTACTGTGAGCCGGGGAGGGATTATTTTCATTTGTGATTATTAGGAAGAGAAAAACCTATGCCTTGGTGTATTTGCAATGAAGCAGAGAAAGAAAATTTAAATGAGCAGCCAGAGTGAAGCTAACAGTTTGTACAAAGACTGTGGCACAAAAAGGGTGGAGCCCTCGTATTTATGTGGATGTACAGCATTAGCTCACCTTAACTTTCCTCCTACCAGCGTGAGCACCTATTCTAGAGTGAAGACAGTGCCCTTACCTGTAGGTGACTTTGCATCATGATTTAATTGTGTAGAGTGCAGTACACCTGCAAGGAAAGGTGAGACTGAATACCAGAGAGAGTGTCATTTATTTATAGCATATTCATTTTCTCGTCTCTTCTCACTGCTTTTGTCTAGTGCATCAGGATCAAGTAACATGCACGCAAGAGCAAATCTATTTCTTCTTTATTGACTGACTGTTCTGCTAGAAACATGCAGTTATCATTTTACTCCATATTTTTGTTCTTTGGAGCTACATTAGTGAGCACTCATAAATTACAGAAAGATCTAAACACTGTGCAAGGTGATGGCTCAAGATGGTGCCACAGTCGATATTCCTACCTGAAAAAAGTTTCTTTGACAGCCAATCAAACTTATGACCGCAACTCTCCCCATGAAGGTTTTTTAAGGAACCTCATTTGTCAATTTATACATGGGAGCTTGGAACCTGTTTCGACTGAACAGAAGGTGGACTGGCAAAGTGACATGCAAGAAGCTGACACAACTCCATTACCAAATATGCAATCTGACACTGCTTTCTGGGAGCAAAGAAAGGTGAGCAACACATCCATGGAAACCAGGTATAATGAGCAACAACATAAGAAGGATCAGGCTATGCTCCACATTCACGCTAGGAATAAAAGGGATACTTATGAGGGGCAATGGAAGAAAGGCAATGATAACTCCAACAAAACCAACAATGAAAAAAAATTATTGGCGGACTTGAATGAAACTTTACAAAGTCCTGTTGCAGGAAAAGAGACAGAACCCCAAGCCTTGTCCTTAAACGGATCTATTCCCTTTGCTACAAATGATCTTAAAGTGTTTTCTGATAATATGGAAGTTAATCAAGCTCTGGTACCAAAAAATGCAACCAACAATAAAAAGTTACACATAAAGAACCCATTTTATCCACTGACAGAAGATTCATATGGTGCCTATGCAGTTATGTGTTTATCGATTATCATTTTTGTAATTGGCATTATGGGCAATATGGCTGTGATGTGTATAGTCTGCCACAATTACTATATGAGAAGCATCTCCAATTCACTTTTGGCCAATCTAGCCTTCTGGGACTTTTTGATTATCTTTTTCTGCCTTCCACTCGTGATATTTCATGAACTTACGAAAAAATGGCTGCTGGAAGACCTCTCTTGCAAGATCATACCGTACATAGAGGTAATAATTATGACTTTTATGATGTATGTTGTTTGACATGTGAGCATTTCTAAAGTACATACTTTGTTATTAGCCAGGCTCCTGGATTCAGAATTCAGTGGCTGTTCTGTATATTTAACCCTATGTGACCTCTAAAAAGGTTGAAAGAGTCAGTTATGCTTGGAAAGGGTCAGCTTGGCCAAAGGTTATATTATAATTATAAGTTAAGTCTGGTGGACTGTCACCCATCAGTTTTCTTATTTCTTAAGGTATTCAGGAGCCAGCTTTTCCTGTCATACTTTCTAGCTGTTCTCCCTCCCACCTTGGAGTCTCACCCCTACTGCTAATAAAAAAAAACACATGTTCCTACTTCTATACAGGTGTGTGGATGTAAAAAGCACACCGATCTCGCCACTGGAGCACATGAAGGACATAAAACTCACCACTTAAGTACCTGTTAACTTTAGGTGGACCAACCCTTTAGGTGTATTTGCCTTGGTGTTTGGTATACTTGCAACTGTAAATGTTTAGCTTCGTTTCAAAATTTTCCTATTTCAATTTTAGTGATCAGAAAAAGAGAAAAAATTGGTATTCTGATGCTGCAGTGGAACTGCATATCCCAGCATGTCCTACTAACAACTAGGATATACATGTATTTATCTGTCATGGATCTACAAGTCTTAGCACGTCCTATGATGAGTAAGACTGGCATTATATGCTGACACTTGAGTTTATCAGCAGCCACAAAGCTATAGATTGACAAATGTTGATCTAGCTTGACAGTATATATATATTATATATATTTATAT